GGAAGCAGTTTGCAGCCGTCAGGGTAAAGTGATACAGGAATAAAAATGGTGAGAGGCTGTGGGAAATCTAAGTAACTAGACCCTTGGGTGCTAGATCAAGAGGCCAAGCTTGGAGACTGGGAAACATCTGAAGGTCTCCAACACTTAATTGGTTCCAACACCGCCTAGTGGGGAGAATGGGAGCAGGTCAGCTGGCTGTGATGAAAGAAAAGGGAGGGACAAATACAAGAATCTGGAGGGAAGACTGTAATTGATCTATATTCAGTTTTGACTGTGTTCTAGTTCCAATTCAGAACAAGGAAATGGGGATGAGGCAAGGTGTTGCTCCCTCTTCCCTGATGCCTTCCTGTGCTATCTACACCAGGGACTTTGGAGTTCTGCTCATCCTTATGCTTCAGGCATCTGTAATGTTCTTACTTTCACCTACTCCCTCTTTCAGGAATTTATCCCAAATCTAACTTCAGTTCAGCCTGCTCTGCAAGATCTAGACCCTTCCTAAAGCTTTGGGATATACATGTTGAGAGATCTTCCTTCTCTCTACCTCTGCCAGTCTACTCTTCATGTCTCTTTACTACAGAAAAAAAGAGAAGTACGGGAAATTAAGTACTTTTGGGGATTCCCAAGCACAACTAGCTCTAAGGACTATCTCCATTCCCTGTTCTGTCCTCTTCCCTTCTCATAGTGCTCCTCCCCTGTGAACTCTCCCTTCCAGGCCTGCTCTTCTACTTACTGGGAGATTAGAGGTTTGACCTCAGGGGGAAATCCTAGGTACCTACATAAAGTCTCAGCTCAGGGAAGGATATGCATGGAAGGCACTTTCCCAGCATCATGGCTCAGTAAAACACCACCCAGGAGTTCTGACTCCCTGCCTGCCAAACCAGTACTTATTTTCAATTCTGCATAACTGAGCAACCCACAGGGTGAATATAGGATGGGTGAGACAGGGATTCTCCCAGGCAAGATCAGACCTCTCTGGAGATCTTAGCTAACTGTAAAAAAGTTATTGTTGGGAAAATATGACAGGGCTGGGGGATGTAAATGAGAAAATATTAAGGGAGTAGAGAGGGTGTCTACAACAAAGGTGGCTACCCTTGAGGGGTTGGTTAAAGAAATGCCGCGGGTCATGACAAGAAGTGGTTGATGTGAGCTTGTCAGAGGTCCTGGCAGCACTGTAGATTCTGGAGAATCGTTTCTGGCAGAGGAGTGAAATGGTCATGTGCAGGAAGATATGAGAGTTAGACAGTTGCGGAGATAGTAAAATGGTGGTACGTGGACGATTGTAAGAAGATGGAGGGCCCCCTCCCTCCATACACAGGGTAAGTCCATTATTGGTAGCACTTGTGAGAGGGTCTGTGAGGAGGGAAACCAAAGACAAAGCCTGGGCCACCTCCCCAGAAGAGATTGGTTTTCCTGTCCAGGGTCCAAGCTTCCTCTTTTGTACTCACCATGGGGGGAGGGCATCTCCACAGGAGTGAGCTAGAGGAGGAGCTCCTAGCTGGGTTAGGACCGGTGGGTGGCCCTCTGTCGGGTAAAGTCAGTTCTGAATCACAGACATCCCATATGGGCTAGTTTGTGAGCCTGGGAACATAGAAGATGTCAACCTGACCGATTTGGCGCTTTTTCTGAAGAGATAAACCGTGGTAGTGTCACTGTGCATGAGGTTAGAGAAATGGTGGGCCCATTCCTACACCAAAGTAATAATCCTCACCTTTTCTGTCTGTAGAAGTGATATCAAAGTACAAGTTTTACATATTAAATAAATATCAACTTCAATTTATTTATGAAAAAAAAAAAAAACATGATATCAAGCTAGCGGTTAAGGTACCTAGGTACTTACCCTGGATTGGCTCCCAACTCTTTGTAAAATACTGGTGGGTTAATTTCTCATGGTTCGGGTCAGCATGAAGGAGCTGCTACCTATACCCACCAGAGCACAGAGAACAGAGAATACCTACAGCTCTATTCTCTTTCCCTATTCTCCTTCCCTAATTGGTTCACCCTAGTAGTACCCTACCCCCACACCTGCCCCCAGGCCCTCCTGTCTCTAACTAGCCTTAATCTTAACTGGTTTGATTAGTCTCTGTGTATCTATCCAGGGACAGGAACTGTGGCCCTTTCTCCCAAAAGCGCCAGGATTGTTACAGATTGAGAAAAGTAGACTGAGAGTGTTGGGGCTTTTGCCAGGGGCAGCAGGATGGGGAGTACCCGGTGCCCTGACAGTGGAAAGTAAATGTGGAGTTTCCTCCCTGATGTTTTTCTCCCTGGTGGAAACCCCCTCAGACCCAGGGTGGGGCTGAAAGGATAGGGCAGCTTGGGTCTCTGGGTATTTTCAGGTGGGGGAGGCAGGACTGGGAGGATGGCATTTCTGTACAGCCTCCAGTGAAAAGAGCAGAGGCAAAGGAAGTGCCACTTCAGAGGCCTTTCATGGGGCCCAGGGACTGCTGAGCTGCTGCTGCTACTTTTGCTGAGAGGTTGGGAGGAGGAAGCAAGTGTTTGAGCTATTTCTCTGAGCTGTTGGTGGGGGAGGGGGTAGCCTCCTTAGCTCCCCCAGCAAGCGCTGCTTTGGCCTTGGGCTTGTCCTTTGTGGAGTTCATCTGATGCTTGGACAGTGAGAGAAGAAGGAAGGGAACCGCGGAACTGGAGTTAGTGAAAGTGTCCCAGTCCCCTCAGCTCTCTCCATGTGCATACACACTGCCTTCCAGCTGTGACTGCCTATTTCTTTATCCTCACCAGCCCCTAATGAGTAGGCTCAGTTCTGTTACCTACCTGCTGCAGTGCAGAATCCTCTTTAGGAGCTGAAGTAGGAGATCTTTAGCATAGATTTTTTTTTTTTTTTTGAAGGCTGGGAACTATGCTCTCTTGGGTTCTGTCCCTGCTGATGGGGAGAAGGGGAAGAGAGAGACTCAGCCCTTGGCCTAGTCCCAGCCCCACAGTGACCTCATGTCTCCCCCAGCTTCCTCCTCCCAGCCCAGCTGCAGACAGCTGCAGCCCCTTTGAGCCCTTTATATCACCTCTCCTCCACCCTACCTTTCAAAACAAGTAAACAGACTTGCAGAGCAACAGAGACCCTGACCCTCACCTCATCGTTTACCAGGTCTTCAGATGTTCCTTAACTATCCCAACTATTCTACCCATCTTCATCATTTATAGGTTAGCTATGCCTGCTTTGTCCCTCTTACCCTTCCAGTTGAGCACAGGACAACATGGCCTGTGTATTCTGTACTATAAATTGTGTTGCTTAGGGGAGGAGGAAGTAGATTGCACTTGTTTTGTGTCTCCTGCACTCAGATTCTTCCTTGTTCCCAGAATCAGTGGATTGATGGGGGAGGAGATATGTGTCAGTCTGCAACTCTTGTTCAGCATCTGCTGGGCTTCTGGAAGTAAACAGAAGGACAAAACTCCCCCTCCTGAGGCATCTTGTTAGTTTAGTGCAATGCACAGTACAGACCGTGCTGGGGACTGTAGGTCTGGAGAGGGCCTTGCTATGATGTCCTAGAGAAAACAGGGAACAGAACTGGGCCCTGAAATATTAGGAGGATCTGAAGGGGGTGAGCAGAATTTCAGGACAAGCAACTCCCATATACAAAGACATGAAGGGTGAATTGAGTTTATTTAGTTATCTACTGACAGCCACTGTTGTACTGTGTTCTAGGGAGAAAGACCAGCCAGAACCTTGCCCCCTAGGCCCTCCCAGCCTGCGTTGACAAGAGATAAGCTTCAGATCAGACTCCATGTGATTGATCTAAGAGAAACAGGGGCCAGCTTGCGAATGAGATAAAGTCACTTGTGACTTCTGTGATTTACAAAAACTTTCCTGGAGACGGTAACAATCATGCATGACTCTGTAGACTTAAGGGGGGGGTCCGCTGATGCAGTTGGGGCTTTCTGAACTTCCAGGTGGAGATTGGAGGATGAAGAGGGAAATAAATGTTTGGACAGCAAATCTGCTGTCTGGTATGTTTGGGAGAAGAGAATGTGAAGGATCACCCTTTATGGAGCAACACAGATGCTTTTTTGTAGAGGATCCTTATAGAGAGCCAGGGTGGTAAGACCAGAACTCAGGATCAGAATGCCCAAAGGTTATCATTAGAATGACGGGGCCACACTGGGGAACCCCATGTAAGGGAGGCAGGAAGCTCCCATTGTCTCCAGACTCCCCCATCTTTTAGAACTCATCCCTCCCCTCCCCCACTCCCAGTTAGGACACTTCCCCTACTGTAAGGCAATCTGCTTCCTTTCCCTCCCCCTTTCTGGGTCTTCCTGGGCCACACCCCAAGACCGGGCCCCACTCAGTATAAGCTGGGCTCCAGGGATCACACACTCAGCCTTAGCGCCTGAGCCGTGTTCCCTGCTGCAGCCAATCCAAACTGGTCCTGGGAATAGAGACTTGGCCATCCTGCCAAATTTTTTGCTGTCATTGCTGTCCAAAGAGATTCAGCATTGCAATATTGGCCGGAAAGTCAGTTCACTTCAGGGCCAGAAGTCAGTAACGGGCAGAAGCAAGCAGATCAGAAGGCAGTGGTTGCACCACACTCCTGTGTGCCCAGCACTTTACTCAGCTTTTCTGAGGGGCGAATAGTAAGAGAAACTGTAGTTCCAGTGCTAAGGAGTGAGAGGATCACCCACAAGTTGCAATGACTATTGGAGAAAAGTCACCAAAGAAGGACTCAAAAGGGGGTGGCCATGATACCCAAGCTCAAAGAAAAAAGAATTCAGCAGTCTCATGGGACTGAAGACTAAGCTAGATTTTGAAGCATCAGGAAGCTTAAAGAGGAGAGGGAATGGTGAAGACCAATGGAAGAACAGGAGTCCAAACTCAGAAGCAGGAATGATCCTGGCTTGGATAACAGGGACAATGAAGACCTGACCCCTCTGGAACAGGGAACTGGTGCCTCACATTTGCAAAATAGCTACATTGTTCACACAAACTGCATATTAATGTACTCAGCCTTAAGACAGCCTTCTAAGGTTGGTAATCACATGAGGCAGTGGTTTAAACCCTTCTACAGCCCCTACCAGATTATGCAGAACTCTGAATATGAGACTAAAGGACCCGGCTTGATCTGAAATAAATTGGGGATAAAAATACAGCACAAATCATTGTAAGTTGGTGAGTACTATACAGATTTACAAACATCATTTTATTAATCATGAAATCAACTTCTTTTTAAAACAAGTCACCCTGTAAGTCACACGTGAGCCCGAGGCACCACTCTCCTTGTTTGGCTTCCTGCAGTGTTGATGACCCCTTCTTCCAATGTGGTGCAGGTCAGACTCTGCCTGTAGCATGTGCTCCCCTTACATGACCTGTGGGAACTTACTGGATCCAGTTTAGGCGATAAAGTTTCAAAGAAAAGCATGTTCCTGGGAGAGAGAACAATGGTCTGCACTAGACCTGAATAGGGAGAATTGGCAGTTGCCACCGAGCAGTTACTGACACATGCCTCCTACCTCTTGGGCCTTTGCTCTTTTTCCCTCCTGTGTGCTGCAGTGCTTCCCAAATCACAAAACACATTGTTTCCATGCTCAGGATCCTCCCTAGGGTGCTTTGAGGGAGGGAGGGCAACTATTCTAACTCCTGTGGGACAGATGAAGAAACTGAGATTCCAGGAAGGGCAGTGACTTGTTCAAGGCCACATGGTTCACTGGTGAGGAGTAACTTGGAGCTTGTATTGTATATTGAGGATGACAGGACTTTGGATCACCGAACAGGTTTGTGTCCTGACTCCCATGCTGCCTAGCTGGTGATGCTAGGTTACTCAGCTGTTAAGAGTTTGTTTCCTCATTTGTGAATAGGAATAGTATCAAGAACTTTGTTAAAATCAAGTAGCAATACCATAGAATCTTTAAAACTTTGTGAGGGCATTTTATCAAAGGGCATGCCAGCAGGTGAAGGAAAGCCGTCTGATTCAGGTGTCTGTTGCCCTTGCTCCTGTACACATTGTCTCTTCCCTGCTTGTTTCTGGACACCACCTCACTTCTGAATGATCCATTTCCGGTTTCAGCCCCGTTTCCTTGCCAGTCCGGAAGCCACCCTCTCCCTCCCTGCTCCTTTGAGGGCTGATTTACTGATTGCTGGTTGATAACCCCTCCCTAGAGAGCTGCCCGGAGCCATCTGTACTTCCAGTCTCTTGAGCCTTGTGACTTCAGACCAAAATTCCCTCCTTGCCTTCCTGCCTGGGCCAGCCCAGTCCTAGGCCTTTGGTAGAAGAATCCACAATCTAGCCACCCTGCTTTGTGCAACACTGAAGATGTGTAGGCTCAGGAATTCTGCTTCTGAAATGCCAGGGTCTCCCAGATAATCTAGTAAACAGAAATAATGGTATTAACAAACCCCACCCCCACATACACACTTCTTCCCAGTGACCCTTTTCCCAAGGAAGGAAGGAGCCACAGAATCCTTAGAAGAATGTGCCCTAACTTGCCTCCTTGTGCTCAGGCCTTGTACATTTGCTGGCTGACTCAGCCACCGCACCCCAACTGTTGTTCCTATGGATTCTCCCACCCCCATCATCCTATCCACTGTCCCAGGTGTCAATGTCTTGTTTCATCCACCTAGTACCCTTGTCATGGGTGTTTTTCTTTCCATTTCATGGACTGAGAAACTAATCCAGAGTGGGGACGTGTCTCACACTTGGTTTCAATAGCAGAGCAGAACTAGGGCTAGAGCTAGGTTTGGTCTCCTGACTTCCAGGGTGAGGTTCTCTCCACTGCCCCCGAGGGCACTTATCTTCTTCCCCAGACTCATTCCCTGAGGCTCTATACTCTCTCCTGAGGTTCAACACACACTCTTACTCATGCAAGTGAGATGGAAATATTTGAGAAGCAACCTCAGAGTGAAACCATTTCCCTCCCAGCTAGTTCCAGGGGAAGCAAAGGCCTAGAAGGCTGCTGGGATCAGCTCTGCGTTCTCTTGTAGGTTCCACACCACCTAAGTTCCTTTTCTACTTCCCCATAGGGGGATTTCCCCACACATTCCGCCCCCCGCCCACCGTTCACTTTTGACACTTTGGAACCCTGTAGTTCACAAGTCCAGCTGAAGAGGGTAAGATGTTCTCAGACCAGGTTGCAGTGTGTAAAGTGAGATGTAGAAAATGAGACAGTGGGGCCCTCCCTGGTGGTGCAGCGGGTTAGGGTGCAGCACTGCAAGCTAGCCGCAGCCGCTTCAGTGTGAGTTTGATCCCCGGCCCTGGGGATCTATATGCATGGCAGACCTCTCCTGACCCCTCCCGCTGCTCCCCTCAGCAGTGTGCTTCATCGATCTGCCTGCTCTGCTCCTCACTCTGTCTCTGGTGAAGCCTTTCACCGCCCCTGCAACTCTGGCTTGTACCCCAGTTCTGTATGAATGAGTGAATGAATGAATAAATAAATATTAAAGAAAAAGAAAATGAGACAGTGGTGATAGTGCTTAGGCAGAAAAATGGATCCTTGGAAAATCTGGTATGTCTCCCAGGGAATAGGGACCCAGTTGTGGGAGAGTCAGGAAAAGGCAGTGACATACTGGCCAGCCAGAGCCACCCATGACCGAGAGGAAATAGCCAGTGAGAAGAGGACCCTTGCCACAGCAGTATAAATAATCACAGGGTTTCCGGAAGCTCTGTTCTGTTCTAGAACTCAGAAAAGCAGTTCTTCACCCTGGAGCCTTACATGCTGCAGAGGGTCCAAGGTGGCTAGACCTCACCCCACTAGTAATTACTAATATTTATTGGACATATCCTACATGCAGTGAATCACACCGAACACTTAGTACACATTAGCTCATTTCATACTCTGCACTTCTAACAAAAATAGGCAAGATTATTCCTATTTTATAGATAAGAAAATTGAGGCTCAGGAAACTTAAATAGTTTAAGTAGGTAGTGCTGTGATGGGAATACCTAGCCACTCTAACGCCAGCATCTTTGTTCTCAGTGATAATGCATTAATAGATAGCATTGTGTGCTTGACTCAAGAGTCCCGGAAACTCTGAAATTCTTCAGAGCACAGGCTCTGAGATTAAGGGGGAAGTCAAAATTTTAGTCTTCCTCTTCTGTTCATCCCTCTTGGCTGTTACCCTTCTGGCTGTGTATGGTCAAATAGGGTTTAGCCTGCTTACAAGAATGATGGGCTATGCCATCCCAGGGCACCCCCATTCTGGAACAGGTGACTGGCCAAGGCAACTGTCTGGACTCTGGAACAGGTGACTGTCTAAGGCAACTGTGCTCCATGATGAGCAGGTGTTTCCTTGTGCCCTTTGGTTTGCACTCAATAGCCAAGATGTAGATTTGTACATTTTTTGAAAAAAGATTTATTTATTTGTGCATACAAGAACTGGGGTACAAGCCAGAGGTGCAAGGGGTGAGAGGACTCAGAACAGGTAGATTGACCAACACACAGCTGAGGAGAGCAGCAGGCGAGGCAGGAGAGGTCTGCGGTGCCATGTGGGTCAGTTCCCAGGCTAGGAGATTGAATTTGTGCTGTAGTGGCTGCAGATAGCTTCATAGTGCTGTGCTTTAACCCCTTGCTCCACCAAGGAGGCCCCCTAGATTTGTACTTTAAACAGCAGTGTACCAAGCAGTCTGGGTCCTAAGTTGGAAAAGGTTATACTCCAAATCTCAGGGAAAGCTGCACTGTGCTGGAACCTCCCTTCAGGCTACTCGTGAGAGGACTTCATAGCTGGTAGATCCCTACGCCTGTGCATTATTCTAAATGCTTTATTTACATGTAGTACCATGTAATCCTCACAACAATCCAGTGAGGTAGATATCATTTTTTCCCCATTTTACACATAAGGAAACTGAGTCATGGAGAAATAAAGTCATTTGTCCAGGTCACAGGTAGGAAGTAGCATAACCATGACATGACCTTAGTTGGTCTAGTACAAGAACTTACGTGCGTCACGTTATATGAAGCATTTTAGTGCCACCTCCTCTGCTTGGTCTCGGGGCCTTTTGTTGTGTATCTGTCTTAGTGACGAGGTTTGTCTTGATGCAACTGCAGCATGGTATCGATAGAACAGAAGCTGGTTTCCCTCTGTATGCCCCCATCCTGTGTCCCTAATGGATAGAGATCTTCCTAACCAAGAGTGCCCCTGTCATCTGTTCATAGGTCACTGCATCCAGAGAGGCCCAGTAAGGGGAGGAGGCATTGCCTCCACTGCAGCAGCTGTACCCACCATGCAGAGCATCAAGTGTGTGGTGGTGGGTGATGGAGCTGTGGGCAAGACGTGCCTGCTGATCTGCTACACGACTAATGCCTTCCCCAAGGAATACATTCCCACAGTGTTCGACAATTACAGTGCGCAGAGTGCAGTTGATGGGCGCACAGTGAACCTGAACCTGTGGGACACAGCGGGCCAGGAGGAGTACGACCGCCTCCGCACACTCTCCTACCCTCAGACCAACGTCTTTGTCATCTGTTTCTCCATTGCCAGTCCACCCTCGTATGAGAATGTGCGGCACAAGTGGCACCCAGAAGTGTGCCACCACTGCCCTGACGTGCCCATCCTCCTGGTGGGTACCAAGAAGGACCTGAGAGCCCAGCCTGACACCCTACGACGTCTCAAGGAGCAGGGCCAGGCACCCATCACACCGCAGCAGGGCCAGGCACTGGCCAAGCAGATCCATGCTGTGCGCTACCTCGAGTGCTCAGCCCTGCAGCAGGACGGCGTCAAGGAAGTGTTTGCCGAAGCTGTCCGGGCGGTGCTCAACCCTACTCCCATCAAGCGTGGGCGGTCCTGTGTCCTCTTGTGACCCTGGCACTCAGCTTGGAGGCTGCCCCTGCCCCCCCCACCAGTTGTGCCTTGGCGCCTTGTATGCCCCCAGCTGTGCCTTAAGGACTAATTTTGGCACCCCTTGCCAGGGGGCTCTCTGAATGCCTTTTTCTCCATCATGGAGGCCCACAGAAAAAGGGGTTTCAGGCCCTGCCGCACTCTGCTTGAGAACGCCTGGTATTCTTGGGAGCTTACCCAAGCCAAGCTTGGATCCCTCCCCAAGAAGCCAACCCAGTGCTTCCTCTCCATTTTCCCTTACTGACCGTTTGACCCAGCTCTCCACACAGGTGTTGCTGACTATTATGGTGCCTTCTGCCAGGTTAGGAGCTCTCTGCCATCCCTAACTTTTCCTTCTGTCCCTTGCTGCTCTTTGAATTGCCCCCAACCCATCCCAAGATGCTGTCTCCCTTCCCAGAGAAGCAACAGATCCCTGAGAAGATGAATGTGTCCTAACCTGCCCCCATGTCTAGGCCTCATGCATCTGCTGATTGATTCATCCCCTCCCCACCCCCAGGCTCCTGGGGGCCTTTCCTACCCCCATCAGCATCAATAAAACCTCCTGTCTCCACTGGCCCCGGCTCCTCCCTATGTGCTGGACATTGGGGGTTGGGCAGGGACCAGGCATGGGCTGGGGCTCCCCAGAGACTGGGAGCCTTTTGTTTCATGTAAGAGGGGACAGAAGACAATAGGCTTCATTGTGGTTCCCCCACCCCCCAATTTCCCCAACAAAGCTCTGGGCTCCCTTGGAGGGGCTAATCTTGTTCTGGGTGCCAGCTACAGTATTTGTAGTGAACTGGGATATAAAACACAAGGAAAGACTTCCTGACGTGGAGCTCAGACAGGGAAAGGCTGAAAACCATCAACCTGCAGGTACTCTCAGTCCTGCAGTGGGCCGTGCCCTTGAGCATAATGAGTAAGGGAACAGATCTTTATTGACATAACTGGGGCTGGACCACAGAGCTTTGCCTTAACACAAGACTCCCAGGTATCCCAGCTTCCAGGCTTGGAGACATTACAGATACAGTTAGCCAAAATAGGGGTTTACGCCAGCCTTAGGAGATTGCAGGCCCACAGGGGATGGGAGATAACATTTGGAATCATACCCTCCCATGGACTTACTCCCTCCATCTTAGAGACTGTCCCTCACCTCAGTTTCATTAAACAAAGCGACAAGCCTCAAGACAAGCAAGCCTAGTCCAGACTGTTGACAAAAACAGATTTTATTTTCCTGTAAAATAAAATGTACAAACAAAAGAGCTCAGGCCATGGGGCTCTAGGAGGATTGGGGGACACCAGAGAGCCCATTTTGGCATAAGAATCTGTGCCCCTGACCCCTGTATCCCACACTTCTGTATATAAGCCAGAGTTCAGAAGGGAAGAGAAGCACACATTGTGTCCATGCTGCTTCTGGATCAGGTCATCCTTCAGGTACAAAAAACGAGGAGGTGACATCAAAATCACACTGGCAGAGACTTTAGAAATTATACAGCCCACCCAGCCTGCATCATCACATGGACAAACCGAGGCTCAAATAGGGAAGGTCAGATCAAATCAAAGACTGTATTCAGGACTCTGAAGACCTTATCAACTTAGCAGGGATCTATGGCCAGAGGCCTGGATGTGCAAAGTCAGTCACAAGACAGTCAAGCAACCTCGTAGAGAAATGGCTGTGGTTTTTAGGTAGCAGCCACTGCTTGGCGGTCCCTGACCTCAGCAAGACGTGGCTATGTAAAGGCTAAGAACCGGATGGTGGTTATGAACCTCAGGACTTTTTTTTAGCACCAGATGGTGGAGCTGTCCTGTCAGCTCGCCTGCTTGGAGCCTCTCCACCAAGGGTGATGCTGCTTGAAGGCCTCTGTCTTCCACTGGATTGAGGGAATGGAGAAACCAGCAGGGCTGGGTAAAGCCTCATCCTCTGCCCTTCCTCCCTTCTCCTGTCCTGCAGCTTCAGCAGGGCTCACAGAAAAAGGGGTGGAGAAGGCCAGAGTGGTATCTTGTTTCTAGTTTCTGGGCAGTGGGTCTCCTCTCCAATAAGTGAGGATTTAGAATCGTTTTTCCTCAGGCTGGGAGGTTATGAGCAGCTCTTTGTTCCCAAAGTCCCACCAGGCTGTCATGTGGAATGCCATGTTGGTTAGGACAACAGTGTACTCCAGGACAGCAAAGATGGTGTATACTGTTTCAAGGACATAAGCAACAAAGTATGGTGAACCTTCTGCATTCCCTCCCCCCAACCCTCGCCCCCACCATTAGGGGCCTTAATAAATTACCACCACCACATGGCAGCCAGCCCCCAAACCACCACCATATTGCACATTCTAGAAAAACACCCCAGCTGTCTGATAGCCACTGTGACCACCTATGGACCCTAGCCCAGCCTCACCTCCAGCCTCACAGTACATGTTGTGCCGAAAGTAGACAGCCAGTGCCGTGAAGAAGGAGATGAAGTTGATGATGAAGAGCCGTTGTTTCCAGTTGTAGGACTTGCGATCCTAGAGGATAGGCTGTGTGAGCACTCTGCCACTTGCTGGCTATGTGTGGGAAGCCTCCCCTTAGCGCCAACTCCTTAGAGCTGAGTCTAACCTCCTGTGGTCATGGAAGAGGGCACAGGCATGGGGCAGCAAGAATTATAGACATCCCTGCATCTGTTGGGGAAGGGTAACAAGGTCAAGGAGCAGTGGTGTCCCTGCCCCTGTCACTTTGAGGGGGATGAAGTATGGCAGTTAACCAACCTAACACCTCCAGATACTCTGGGAAGAAGAAAAGCATGGATTATAGACTGCAGTCCCCTGACTATTCCTAGCTACTGATGCCTGGGTGCTGCTCCCCACGTTACTCCCCACTAGAAGCCTCTATCTCTTCTATTCTCCACTCCCCTAGATGCTGCTTATAATCACCCTTGGTGTGTCCCCACATCCTAACCCCAACCTAGTTCCCATTAAAGCCCCAATTTCAACCTCACCATTATGAGCATCATGAGGACTGGGGGCCACCAAGAGCCCCACTAGGAGTAAACCGTACCTCCTGACTTACTGTGTGCTTCTTGGTCAGCCGCCACAGAATGCAGGTAAGAAGCATGTGACTGAGGGATGAGGCGATGAACACAATAAAAGCATTTTCATGGATGGCTAGAGGGAAAGAGAGGGGTTGGAAGAGCAGGGAGCACCCAAACCCCTACTTCTGAAGGCCCAATGTTGTGTGTGTGGGTCCCTCCCCAAGCCCTTCCCCACTCCTCCTTCCCTTGCCGGGCACCCACTGAAGTCCTCGGAAGAGGAGACGTAGGTGAGCACTAGCAGCGCAAGATTCTCCACGACGTTGAGGCCGAAGTTGATGCGGCAAAGTGGACGGTACCCGGGGCATGGGGAAGCACAGCTGAGGTAGTGGTTCCAGTAGGCGAAGGCCACCAAGAATCGGGGTGCTGAGTGCAGGCCGATGCAGAAGCGCCACACGTAGCGCTGGGGCACCTCCCCGCCAATTGCTGAGCTCACCGATGGCAGGTAATTGGGCACCTAGAGAGTTGTGATCATCTGTGTGCAGGCCTCTGCAGGCCCCGGCCTCCTGAAATCCTCTCCATCTATCAAAATCATCCCAGCCCCAAAGGCTCTGCATTAGTCCCTTCCTTTCCAGAAGTATTCCTGCAGGGGCCCCCAGAACGTTCCAGGAGACTGCCCCTTCCAGCTCCTCAGACTCCATTGTGTTCTGGTACTCATTCCCCAGCCAGCCTATGGTTTGCACAGAGGCAAGCTAGGAGTCTCTAGACTATTTCCCTACACATGGCTGGGAAAGCTGTGGATAGATTCAGATGCTGTCTCAGCGCAAAGCCAGGGCTGTGCCCTGGATAATGGCCTGTAGGAGGTTCCTGGGGTCAGATTCAGGTCCAAGGAAAGGGATGTCACAGAATGAGTTTCCTTGGGATGTGCTGAATTCACTACTCAGTCAAACTGCTCCTCAGACTGCTCTCAGCTCCACTTGTATTATTGGGCAATTATGTCAAGGTAGTAGAGGATACTATTGAGACCTTAACTGAGCCAAAGAGTACCTCCTCATCATATTTTATAAAGTGGGTGCTCCTAACCACTTTCTCAATGCCTAGAATTCTTCATTCCTTAAGGAATCAGAATGTCATTCTTTAGAGTTAAAGGAGGAGAAACTAACATACAGCTTCAGGGATTGGTGTGTGACTGGTATGGGAGGTGAGGGGATAGGGAATGATGGAACAGTAGTTTGGATGACAACAGGAAAGGATAAAAGGGTGATTTCAGATTCTAGGGCCCAGAGCAATGCTTCTCAAACTTTTATAAGTTTTTTTTTTTAATTAATTTATTTATTTGTGCATACAGAACTGGGGTACAGGCCAGAGGCTCAGGGGCGGTGAGAGGCTTCACCAGAGACAGAGTGGGGAGCAGAACAGGCAGATCTACGAAGTACACTGCTGAGGGAAGCAGCGGGCGGGCCAGGAGAGGTCTGCCACGCCAAGGGGATCACCTCCGGGGCAGGCGGGAATAGAACTCATGCGGAAGTGGCTTCAGATTCTCAGTGCTGTGCTTTAACCCGCTGCGCCACCAGGGAGGGCCAACTTCTCAAACTTTTAATAGCATACAAGTCACTAGGGATTGTGTAAGAAGGCAAAAGGTATAAAATCTGAGAATCTGCATTTCTAAAAAATTGTGGGAATATTATGGAAGTTACCAGACTGTTGTCCACACTCTTTTAGACCTTCAACAAGGGTCAGAGCAGTGATGGGGCCTAGTGATTCAGTGAGGGAACAACTTTGTTCTGACTATAGGGAGTTGCAGAAGATCCCTTCCTTTTTCCCATTCGGGATACTAAATTGGTCTTTGGAATAACTGGGAAGGGAGGCAGCCCTGCTCACAGGGCAGGGGAGGACCAGCCAGGGGCTTACAGCCTTCACTGAAAGAGAGATGCATTCCCCTCAGAGGCAACTCAGTGCACAGTTATCGGAGAGGGTGCTTCTCTCAAGGCCAGAGCTTACAATACCACAGCTTGAAATCAGGCTTAAGTATTGACTCTTATCAGTGAAGTGGCAGCAGGAAAGATTTGGAGTCACACAAACGGGTCAGCAATCCAGCTCTGCCTTTCATAGCTAGGTGACCTTGAGCAAATCACTTTACCTCTCAGAACTTCAATTAACTCATTGGCAAAATAGGGATAATACCACCTACCTACCTTCAGCATGATTGTGAATACTAAATATACTGTATGTAAAACATCTGCAGGACTTGGCACACCCTGAGTACAAGTGATGGCTTTCAGAAGACAAACTTCCCTGAAAAGCCTGCAAATTGTTATGGTTCTGTAGCTATTAGACATGGGAACGCTTGCATGTTCAGGACCTACATGAGAGAAAGGTAGGAATTGTGTCTGTACCAGATACTTTTGAGACCTACAAGCCTCTTTACTTGACTTTTTCACCTCACCAGGCAGATGCCCTGAGTAGAGTTAGTTGGTATTTCTTCTACTTTCTTAGATACTCATTCTGAAAACTCCTACCTCAATCTCAGCTACTTTAAAGGAGCAGCACCAGCATCTAGAGCTTGGCTGACAGAGGCCAGGGCATTCAAGGGTTCAGAGCCCTGACCCATGCTGGGAAACAGGTGAAGGGAGGTGTTGCTACAGAATTGGGAGGAGGCCTCAGGAGAAAGAGAATTAGGGCACTGGGCTATTGGTTCTGTCCTCAAAAGTTCCTCTCAGATTAGGGGTAGGAACAGGATTTTAAGAGCAGGGATTGCCTCTCTCATCTTTCTTTCTCCCTCTTCCTGCCCCTCCCCCTCTCCCACCTCCCCCCTCCCTC